GTGAATAAATGTATAGTACTCAGGCACTTGTGCGTAGACGGCAGCAGGCGAGTATGTGGTGTTCGATATATTATTATACAGTTTAGCTCAAAATGGTTATCTTTGCAGGGTCACAAGGTTGCACAAATCCTTGAGCCGACCTTATATTCTGCATGCATACATTCAGGGGTGTGTCTTAATTGGGTAAAAAAAGCATTTGTAAAATCTTATTTGAGGTTTTTAGTTTGAAGGTTAGAAGTTAAAATAGGATTAGGGCGAGGTTAGGGGTGCAGTGCAGATGGTTAAGGTTAGAGCTATGAGCCAGAAAACGAATGAAGTCATAAAGGGTCCTCTCAAGTATAGCAATAAACAAATAAGTGTGTGTGTGTGTATGTGTGTGTGTGCGTGTGTTTGCCCGCCCTTTGGGAACAGACAATCATTTATCACCACATGGACTCCCTTTAGTGTTAACTGGGGAGTGTTTTTGCTGGTGTCTAAAGGAACAAAAAGGGGTACTACCAAAGACAGTCCTCCCCCTCATCTTGGTCACTCTTCTCCTCCCTCAGTGTCCCTCACTCCCATCTTCCCAACCCCCTCTCCAGCCCTGCCACACTGCTCTTTCTGTGGTATCCAACCAAAAACAACTGGACCATTTTAAGGGGTTGCCAAAGGGGTATTCAAAAGAAACATCCAAGTGGCCTGAGTAACTTTTTCTATGCCAGCAGCTTGCCGTTATGCTTCACGAGACAGCTGAATAGTCTGCTAAATGCTCAGAAATTGCTTTGAATATGAAACAGAATTCAGTCCTCCTGTGCTTTTATTTCCCAACGACGCTGGTTGGAGGTCATTTGGCAGGCGAAGAGCAGGGTGACCTCAGCCTTCTGGAGAGGTCAGTTTCTTGCACAGAGAAATCCCACTGTGGCCATTGTGCCTATGACTTGAGCCCCATGGACTGAAAGCAAAACTAAAACTGACAGGAAGGTAACTCAGGGCAACGATCAATGCTACAGCGAGCCTCTGTTGCCCCCTGTGTTGTTGGAGGACAGTGAAGTGGTCTATTGAACAAAAGTCTGAGTAGTTCTACTGCCTGGGTTTGTTCTTCCTACTTGTACTTTATGTAATGGCACAGCTGTGAGCTGCAGAGTTTCATTTAGCTTCTTTGAGATGAAGTTGAATAACCTTTGCGGATGTAGACACACACACACATTCACATGAGTTGAGTGAGTTTTAGGTCAAAAAGACAGCAGATAAACAGTTTTGTTCTTTTGCTGATACCGCAAGATCTCTAATACTCTTTACTGATTTAGTAGTAGTGATGGAAGTTATCCACCTACACATAATGTCAGCCAACTCACACTTGTGCCCTCCCACCCACGTCCACACACTCATACACACACAGACATACATGCAATCACAAAGCAGCTGAGAACAAAGCGTCCAGATATAGTAATAACAACCCCTTGCCTTGCCCTGATGTGCTCGCTGTGTTGGCAGTTTTCTGTTACACCACTGAGAGCAGCATGCTGTGTGCAGTATTACGCTTCTCACTCAAGAAAAACACGTTATTTTATTTTCATTACATTATTCTATTTATTTTCACATCACAGCCAAACAGTGGGGTATGAATATTCTGCAGATGAGTCTCAGTAAAGCGCAACAGCATTTTTAATAGCATTTACACACAAGGTAACTCTTCAAGTACTAAATCTGCAAGATGATTTCCAATGGAAATTAAAGTATCAGTGTGAAGGACAGAGTGAAGTTCATATAGCAATGAAGCTGCAGATTGCAACTAACTGAACACTGCTTGCCCAATCTAAAGCCAGTGTTTGGTTTATCTGTTTTAGGCCTTTGATATTTCTAGAACCATAATTTGTATTTTGCAGTACCTTGCAGTACTGTGTTTTTATTCATAAAAAACTCTATTAAGTAGTGCAGTTAGGAGTGGCAGCATTTGGTACACAGGGTTCATTCTGCTCATAAACCTACAGTATAATAAAATAATTTAGGGAATGCATTACCCTCAGGTATTTTAAAAATCATATTATGATTTAAGTTTTAGGTATTATGATATTTGGTAGAAATATGGGATATACCTCCAGGCCCAAAGAAATGATTGCCAGTAGACTAAAGTGTTGGTGCTAAAAAGCTAAAGAGCTTAAAGTCCCGTCTCACAGAGGACTCAGTCCAGTAAGGCCATGTTTGAAAGCAAAGGCCATGGATTTAAACATGCAATGACCTATTTTCAATGTCAGCATTTTTTCAGTGAATGACAAGTGAATGAGTCTCTCTTTCTATCTATCTGTATCAGATTCGAGATAAGAAACACGTACATGCGTATTTTCCATTTGTGTGTTTCTGGTCGAAGTTGTATTAGGTTACTGCTATTACAAACATTTCTGGTGATGCATCAAACATTTAATTTCTCCCTTTGTCTCACTGAAAAGGTTGTTGATGCAAAATATTTTACAGCAAAAACGCATAGAGCACAGAAATTTCACAGCCTTACCTTCCAACTCTTATATTTAGCTTTTACTTGAGTTTTAGATTAATCAGGTGCAGAAGTGCTAATGAGTCTAAGGAGATAATCCAGGTGGCGATACTGTACTGTAATTGCACTCGCACATGTGTGCAATTCTATGTTGTGCTGGTGCAAACACAACATGAATACACATACAGTATGGCCAGAGGTGTCCCCTAATTGATTGATACAGATGATGTGAAAATAGACTCTCAGCCTCATTTGAAAGGGGTGGATATATTGAGTTTACCCCCTACTACGCCCCTAAATTATGGCTCATTTAAAGAGACAACATGACTGTCATGCTTATGCTACATACGTAAATGTCCCCATTGTGAATCATTGTAATCTATATGCTAAGAGGTCAGGCCAGACCATACAAATCTTGGTCTGATACTAAGTAGGCATTGCAGGCGCTGTCTCTCCAGAATATTGTCAGTCTGTGTCTGTGTGCTGAGGGGTAGAAGGCTGTTTAGCCCCGTCAGCATAGAAGCTCTTGTCCTGTATCCCTCCCAAGGTGACTTCTCTGCTGTTGGCAGGCATAGACATGAAAACAGCTCCCTGGACTCTCTCTCTCTCTCTGTCTCTCTGCTTCTCCCACACACTCATCATCTTTTAGATACCACTGGATAATGTGCTTCGGTACCTTTCACACAGATAAGTCAATGCATGTTTTACTGTGGTCTTTCCTTCTTTTTCTTCATTCCTTCCTCCACGTCCCTTTTTCATAATTGCAGGTAGGAACCAAAATGCATGCGAAGACAAAAGAAATTATGGGTGTATTCATTAAAAATCTCTTCAATGCCTCCGGCCTTGTCTACAGTCAGATTTAAGCTTTGGCTTCATGCCAATACATGAGCACCTGACCTTTTTCCTCTTTCAGTTCTCATAGTGGAGAATGTCCACCTACGCAGCGGCACACACGCCTCCCACACAATCTCTCTCACACACAGGAGGAAAATTTGTACGTTGAGAGCAATCGTCTGTGAATTTGTGTTAGAGACTGCAGGCTGGAAATACAAACTACGCCATTCTGTATTAACAGAACTTTTGAGTGGAACTTGCAGGTGTGTGACCATAAGTGTGAGTAAATAGGCCATTGTCCTGTTGTCTACAGTGGGTCATCTATTTTGGTCCAGGTTAATTCTCTACATGGGAGTAGGTGTGCTAATTTCCTCTCTGTGTGTGTCTCCTCCTGTTTCTCTGTCCCTCTCTCTCTTTGTCTGTCTCTCTCGCTCTCTCCTTCTGTTAATTGATTAAGAGGATTCAACCGGCTGCTGCGGCGTTAAGCACAGACTCTGCGACCACCAATACACACTTGGGTGCACATAAACAGTGACCCAAGCGGGCTGACACACCTACTTTAAGATCATCCTGAGACACACACACTATGTTGCTGTCACTTGAGAGGACACTGCATTGACTTATATCTATTTGCAGGGGAAAATATCATAATCTTAAGCATTTTGCTAAATTACTAACCCCTAGCAATCACCCTAACATTAACTTAACCCTAACATTAACCAAAAACCAAGCCTAAAATTTTGGTTTGCCTTTTCCTGCTTTTCATCTACGGATGGGGTCTGAGTCCCCATATTTGACAGTTTTACAGTTTCTTCAATTAAATTTACATTTATTCATGCTTTTCGGAAAGATTGTATAAATGAGGTACAATCCAAGCCACAATAGATAAAGGAGAAGCCACAATATGACTGAGGCACACTGACGCTGCCGAAATCCAAAATACTCAAGCTATGTCTTCTTAAGTACTTATAAATCCGCTGTAAGCCAGAATTTGCATATTATAATGGTAATCTTTCTGTTAATTAGCATTATAAATCACTATTTGTTAAAGCCACAGTGGGGATTTTAGGAAATACGCTTTACTCCCTGCAGCTGCTGGTAAACAAAACACCAAATTAGTATGGACCTTCTCACCAGATCTAATATTATTATTGATAAAAATTAATAAAACACTTTAACCAAACCTGCCAAACAATATCATCTGCATCTCTCAACCAGGGAGAGGAAGCCTTATACGAAACACCTAAAAGAAACAGTTTAGTCTTCAAATGCCAGGCCTGATATTTAATTTCTTATAGTCTCATCTATATAAAGTTTATATTTCTCCTACACAGATAAAAAGAATAACTTTCTCAAACCCAGAATGAACTCTTTCCTGTAATGCGCTGCTGATTAAAGAATGTAATCACAGAATTTAATGTTGGTCTTATCATAATCAGACTGCATTTCTAATGGGTACATACAAACACACATTAACACACATCCTTAGGCAGCAGCAGCAGCAGCAGCATCCTGATAACCTTGCATTACCCGGCAACTCCAACACCACTCAAAAACTCATCTTCACTCCTCCACAGACAAAAACACACACACACAGGAGAATAACACCTTAAATAACCTTCACTATCCAATCCAACCCAATACCCAAATCACTGCTGACAGGCTGAAAGTTGTTCCCCATCCAAAGCTGTCTTACCTTTGTGACAGTCATGCAGAATCAGTAGGTGAGGAGCAGGCCAGTGTCCCCTTCAAGCAAAGAGCAACGCCGCAGGAGTGGCAGAGTGATGAGGAGGAGAGGAGGGCAGCTCTGCTGAATATGCAGAGAGAGGGAGAAAAGAGGAGGGGACAGACAGGTTAGTGTGTCTGGCTCACTAAGTACAGAGGGGCTGATTGCTGCTGCTGCTGCAGTGAAGTAATGGCTGGCAGTCGGCGTGTGGTTGGTTACTACAACAGGGAAAAGCTCCTCGCTAGGATACACCCCTCCTTCCTCCCTCCCCAACTGCACACACGCAGACACACACATACACACAGATGATGCACACAAAGTCTGGCTGTCCTACTCTCTCACTCTCTGTCTCTCGCAATATGATTACTGATGGGCTAATACAGCTTATTGATGAGCAGTCAGGCACGGCTGCAGGAGGAGGCGGGAGTAGCGCTGCCTGGGACAGGAGAGGAGAGGACTGCAGAAACAGAGAGAGAGAGAGAGAGAGAGAGCAAGGGAGGGAGGGAGTTGGACGCCGTGTCGCAGTCTGCTACTCAGGCATGGAGCTAGCTGCACGTCATCTGGTGTGTGTGTGTGTGTCTGTGCGTGTAAGTGACACAGGCATCGATAAGAGGAGACAAAAATATTTTAGATTTTCATCCAAGCTACACTACATTACTCATCTAGTATTTCTATATGTGAAAACAATATGTACACACAAGAATACACATAGAGTATAAACAAGGTAAAAGTTGTAAAGCTGTACTTAGGACACTCTTTGACTTTGTTTATCTCCTTACCCTCAACCCAACCCCTACATGTATCCTTTAATCCAACCCTGATCTAGGGCAGAGCAAAACATTCAATATTATTGTTCATCAACTTTCAGTGGAATCAAATTGTGATGATTATGTTGTTTAAATCAATGAAATTGGAATTTAGATATAACAAAATC